CCTTGAGCAATAGCAGCCCATGCCTGACATCTGCCCACACACATTTCGGAGGCCAGTAAACTTCCTGTGGATATTGGCTGCCTGACAAAAGTGACATAAATTCTGCCCTTTTTTTAGGGTGGGTATTTTTTTTTTTATTTATTTTATTTATTTTTCGTATTTTGCTAACAGGTAGGAGCTTGGCCTGCAGCTCCCTGGCTTCGGGATATACGAGTTTTTAAGGGAAGGTGGGGTTATTTCTCCAGCTCAGGGGCCAGGTTGCAGAGAGAAGGCAAAAATGTCATCACACATCTCCAAAACGCAGTTTATGTTCGCTTTTTAGGAAATCGGAGGCACACGTTCCCCCTCGCAGCCTCCCCTCCTGCCCCTTCCCCTCCATCCCCGAGGCTTCATCCCACCGATGCTCCAGGGCAGGTGACACGTTTCCTCCAGGAGCCACATCCACCCTGAGGTGCGCCTTCAGCACAAACCCACACGCGATTCAGCAGGCTCCTTTGAGAGACCTTTATTATTTAAATAATAATTTATTTATTTATTTTACATCGCCTCAACTAATGAACCGCAGAAAAGCTCCAAATCTCGGCACCTTTGGGCTCTCTGAGCAGAGCTGCAGCTCTCAAATGGACAACGAGATGCCCCACTTGTGACAGCACAAGGACACTGTGTTTGTTGGACCCTGCATCAGCGGGAGCCACGACCGTCCCCAGCAACCTCCTAACGGCAGCGATGGCCTCGGGACGAACCCAGCTCACAGGGTCAGATGCTCCTTACCTCAGTGGGAACCAGCCCGGAGCCCCGAAGAGCAACAGGCATCCCACAAAACAAAATAGCAGCGCTGAAGGATGCTGCCCGATGAGTTGGGATTGATGACCTGGGTGTTTCTGCACTTGGGTTTTTTGGTTTTCTTGGGGTTGTTTTTTTGGGGGTTTTGTTTTTTTTTTTCAAATAAAACCTCCAGAGAAGCGATGCCCCTGAGCAGGACTTTCCCAAGCTGGTGGGAAGATGAGCGAAAGCTCTTTGTCAGGCAGCCCAGGAGGACCAACCTTCCTCCGTGCCAACCCAAAACCCATCAGCAGCATCACCCTGGCCGTGGGTAAAGCACACGGCTGTTCCAAAACCTCCCGTTCCTCGGTCAGGCTCTTTGATTCCCCTTGTTGGCTCCTGCACAAACCACGGGGCAAAGAAAATTGCAAAATGGGTGCTCAGGAGGGCACACACAAGAGAAGTGCCACAATTTGGCCTTTTTTTTTCTGCCTCATTGCCCCTCAGACATGCACCCACCGCAGCCTAAAATCTCCAGGGACGGGGGACAGAGATACAGACAGACCCATGCACACAGACCTACACCCAATAAAGTGCATTTCTTTAGGCAACCAGCCTGCCAAATAAAGAGGAATATTTGGGGGTACGCTGCTCCCTTCCCCTCCTACCTGATCCCGAGGGACCTGGGGCCAGAGACGGGTGCTTGCAGCCACAGTGGCCACCCAGCCCCATCTCCAGGACCCCGTAGCCCTGCCTGCACGCTGCCTCCAGCCCCAAAGCGGACCTTGCTGGGAAGCACAGCAGCAGAGAGCTCTGCTCCCCGACACCCCCCGCCCCGACAGTAGTGTTATAGCAAAACCCCTCTCCAATACTTCCCCGACCCTCCCGCAGCGTGGCCGAATGTAGCTGGCACCCTCCGCCGGGTGGGAGCAGCCCTGCCCAAGGGCATCAGCGAGATCCAGGTACTCATCTTGTCCCACTGGATTATTTTTTTTGCCCCGTGAGAGACCGCAGTGGCTTTCCAGTGGCTTCCCGGGCACTTGGCCGGGCCACCCATACCTCGCCCACCCTGCAGCCGCTACATCTCTTTAAGGGTCACAAGGCAGAGCTTCGTGAACATCTGCCGGGGCTTCGCTTCGCCTGGCAGATGTCTCCTGGAGCGGCTGACGGATCTACTGCCCCCAGGGGGCCAGCCGGGCTGCCAGGTTTGTCTTTGCGGGGGATGGAGTGTGGCTGTCCTGGTTGGCGGGGGTCACCTGGCAGCACAGCACGGAGCGCATGAACCGCAGGACCGGTGGCCTCAGGATGGCGAAGACCCAAGGGTCGACAATGGAATTAATAGAGAGAAACCTCAGGGCCAGGAGGTCCCACTCGTGTTTGTCCTCTTTCTCGCTGAACTTGTTGACGTAGGCGCGGATCTGCAAAACACGATGGGGAGAAATAACGTCAGGTTTTGCCTTCCAGGAACCAACCCCCTGGGCAGCTTCCTGAAGAGATTTGGGCTGTCACAGCGCGCTTTCTGCCTCCACCAATTTAAATGAACTTTTTGCTAACGAAAGCCAGGCCTGCGCTCTGCTCTCAGCGCGCTCGAGGCTTCGTTTAGCCCTAAGGCAATGAAGGCGGCTTAAGGAAGCGGTGGGTCTCACCTTGAAAACCACACGGGACAAATAAACGTACAAGACGGAGAGGATGCGGGGGGCTGGACCGCTCTGGTCCTTCCTGCAACGTGCCGACTCATAGCGGCTCACAGGGCTTCCTGGAAGGGTGACTCAGCACTCCTTACTCATACGGGGCGAATCGCCACCCCCTCACTTCGGGGGTGAGGGGATGCTCGGATGGGGACGGGAGCTGGGGGCGCGGGAGGCATCAGCATCCCTCCTCCGGTTGGGTACCACCCAGGGATGGTGCATCCCCGGGGCACAAGGTGGCCACAGTGCAGCGGGTACCTGAGGGCTGCCCCGGGCTCGGGGCTTTTTTGGGGGAAGGATTTTGTGGTGCTGCGGCCTGATGCTGGCTGGGTTCGTGTGCCTGGACTGCTCCTCGCAGGGTGGCTGCTGTGGGCAGCCCCAGCCAGAAGAGAAAGTGTCATACCAAGGAGGCACCGGCAGCGTTCGGCAGCTCGGTTTGAGACGCTGCCAAAACGCAGCCCAACACATGGGAGCCGGGCGATGGGAAAAGCCAGCTGTGCTACTGGATAAGGCTATATCTGCTACCACAGGGCCCATGGGATCCCCACCAGCGGCACTTTCCCATCCCGTCTGCCCCCAGCAGACCCGCAGGGCCCTGCCCACATGTTCCCACCAAGGGGTCGTGCTTCGTAACGACCCCAGAGCCCAAAACTGGGCTTTTTCAGGACGCGGGGAGAGCCGCCCATCGTGCGTGGGCCCATTGACGGGAGCTGAAACATCTCTCAGGATGTCGAGTCTGGCTCTCGGGATGCTCGCGAGCGCCCGGATATTACTGCTCTGTCTTTTCTCTTTCTTAAAACCCAGGCAGCCTGGCTCAGCTGCAGCCTGTGGTTATTTTCTTTTCCCTTGGGAAACAAAAGGGAGCACGAAGGGAAGGTAGTGTCTATTTAACTCCGTGAGCACAAAATTAGCACTGGCTACACTCCCAACCTTGGCGGGGCTCGCTTCTAATGGGAACAAAATGACCTCCCACGGCGGCGAGCTCGCGCACACGGGCAGGGGACACGGGTGGCTTGAGGTGCTCCGGAGTCTGCAATGCTGCTGGTCTAACATGGCTTGGATGGATGAAAAGAGGCCCTTCAGAGGAGAGAGCCTGGGGCAGAGTCAGGGGATCCACTCTCTCCCCTTCCTCACTTGGCTGCGGTGTTTCGACCAGCAGATGTTTCAGCAGATGTTTCTGCTGAAAGCGTTGTGCACGGACAGGGCAGGGGATGTGTGCACGACCCTTGAGATGAGGGATGCTGTGGCCCGTGTGTTGGATCTCCGTTCCCAGCAATCACTCATCTCCGTGCCTACACCCCGGTGGCGTGGCAAGGGAATGGAGACCTCCATCTAATGGTGAGGTGGGTGCTCCCTGTCCATGTCTCCAGCTCCATCCTTCCCTCTCACCACAGAAATCTGGGATAACTCTGCCTGCCCAGCGCAGAGACTCACTGTCTCCAGCCAAGCCCAGTGGCATCTCCTTCATCCCCATCTTTCGATGTCTAATTTATTGCTCTGCTGCCCCTCACACCTCCACGATGACTGCCCAGCTCCTGGGAACTACAGTAACTGCTGTGTGGTCCAGGGGACCCCTACCCCAGACCCTGCCTGGGCCATGCTGCCTGGCCTCGGAGCCTCTGTGGGATGGGAGAGCAACCCTCCTCCTGCCGCCCCATCCTCCTGCCGCCCCATCCTTCTGCCGCCCCATCCTCCTGCCTCCCCATCCTTCTGCCAGCACTCAGGATACAGGGGGTGATTCTCCCAATTCCCCATGGGATGTGCAAATTGCCCAGTTCGCAGCAGACCCGGGGTCTCCTGAGCTTCAGGAGGAGATAAGCTTTGACCCCAGCCCTTGAGGTTTGGGCAGTGGAGTTGGGGGAGCCTTATAAAAGGGAGGGAGAGGTGGTGCTGGGGAGAGGGACCCCAGCCCAGGGAAGAGGTGGTCACACTCACCGTGAACGGCAGGGAGCAGATGACGAAGGTGATGGTCATGATGGAGAGGAGAAGGAGATGGTCAATCTCCTCGGCCATGGAGAACATGCGCCGGCCGCAGCCGCCAGCCGCCCGGGGCTGCTCGAGCGTGGCCAGCCGACGGGTCTTCTGCCCACGGCGGTGCATGCGGGCCAGGTTGGCGATGACACTGAGGTTGCAGAGCAGCACGGAGAGGATGAGGAAGAGGAGCAGGGTGGCGTAGAGCAGCGAGAAGGTCACGTCCAAGCTGGATATCTCCGTGCTGCCATTCTGCTGGACGTACTCCAGGTGCATCTGGATGAAGCACCAGGTGCCGGGGCAATACTGCACGTACCGCCCGAAGCCCACCAGCGGCAAGGAGCAGAAGGCTGTGGAGAAGGTATAGATGGCAGGCAGGGCAACCAAACCCGTGCGGGGGCTGAGAAAACGCTCGTAGAAGTAGGGCCGCCCCAGGGCCAGGCATCGCTCCAGCGCCATGGCGAAGAGGATGAGCATGGTGGCGAGGCCGAAGAAGCTCATGGCGAAGCCGAAGTAGAGGCAGATGTGTCCTCCTTGGGCCAGGGCGGTCAAGGTGCGGTTGTGGTGGTAAGAAGCCAAGACGAAGGGGCTGACGGAGCAGGTGCCCAGCAGGTCGGTGACCACCAGGGCCAACACCAGGACGTGGAAGAGGGAAGGAGGGCGGGCGCGGGGCCCGCGCCGACAGCGAAGCAGTAGCCCCAGGGCCAGCAGGTTGCCCAGGAGGCCAGCGGAGAACATGAGGGCGCTGACCAGCGGGCGAGCTCCGGCCGGCAGCGCCCCG